CAAATATATTCCTATTAGGTCTATACATTAGGCCTATTATTTGTTGTTATTTAGTTTGCGTAAACCTACAGTAACCAATAACGTTACTAATGAATAAAAATAAACATTATTTCATATTATCATCATCAGACTATTATTATTATTATTATTATTATTATTATTATTATTATTATTATTATATTATCATCAACAATTTTATTAATATTATATTCATTATTCGTATCATTGTTGTTTAATTATTAATATTAAAGATATTTTAATTTGTTATAATAACAATTGGCTTATTATGGTTAGAAAACATTGAATCTACTGCCTACTCAATGTGTTAACATTTCACCGACGTTTCCCCTTCTACGTGACGGCTACGGTACTGATCGTGTCAAAACAGCCGACACTATCCATCAACTTGTGCAAGGCTGAGGTGTTTTCGTCGGCCAGTTCATATCCTGCCAGACCTCGCTTCACCTTCCGTGTAGAAATTCATTTCAGGAAAATAATGTACTTGGTATGCTTAATCGAAGAACATTTCGTGAGTGTTGATTGACATGTGAACCCCAAGTCTACGGCACTGGAATGCTCAATTAAGTTCGTCATAAACTTCTTCATTGCTTCAACATTCGCCGTGGAGAAGCCACAAAACGAAAAACTTTTGCTGAAATAACTGCTACACTCACAACTAAGGTATTTATGTTGTAGACGTGCTTATAAAACAAAAAACGAATGATATATATCCGTAGTATGTTATGCAATTTATAATATAGGCCTACTTTCAATGATAGGCCTAGAGAAGGTCTAATAATCAGTGGTGTAATACGGCGGTCCCGAAGGAGCCACTACACATGGTCCTCGATCTAGCACCCTGAGCGAAAAGGGCTTTGTTGATATATATAGCAGCATATGTGTCTCTGGCATCGACTGTAGGAATTACAGTAGCACCATATTATATCCAGGGGGGACTGAAGGGGGGGGGGGGGGGGGGGGCCGCCCCCCCCCCTAAATTCGTCAATTTTTGTTTTAACTGCGATAAGAGAAAAATTATAGAGTATTCAAATTTTAAGTCTATGAGTGCTATTTCAGGCCATCTAGAAGTGGTCTCTTATACACATCTAGATGTGTATAAGAGACAGATATTATATTCATTATTCGTATCATTGTTGTTTAATTATTAATATTAAAGATATTTTAATTTGTTATAATAACAATTGGCTTATTATGGTTAGAAAACATTGAATCTACTGCCTACTCAATGTGTTAACATTTCACCGACGTTTCCCCTTCTACGTGACGGCTACGGTACTGATCGTGTCAAAACAGCCGACACTATCCATCAACTTGTGCAAGGCTGAGGCTGTCTCTTATACACATCTCTTCGATTAAAAGGTTTCGAAAGTGGTCCTGGGGGCGAAGCCCCCAAAAATTTTGGCAATTTAGGTGTTTCAAAGGCTTATTTAATCGATTTTAGAGTCTACTAATATGTAGAAAATACATAGAATTTTTTTTTT